ATTTTTTAAATTGGGTTGTTTGTTCTTTTTATGACCAATTTCTTGAGTTCTTTGTACATTTTGGAGATCAGATCTCTGTCTGATGTGGGGTTGGTGAAGATCTTCTCCCATTCTGTAGGCTGCCGTTTTGTCTTATTGACCATGTTCTTTATTTTACAGACGTTTTCAGTTTTAGGAGGTCCCATTTATTAATTGTTTCTCTGAATGTCTGTGCTACTGGGGTCATATTTAGGAAGTGGTCTCCTGTGCCAATGTGTTCAAATGTACTTCCCACTTTCTCTTCTATAAGGTTCAGCGTGGCTGGTTTTATGTTGAAGTCTTTGATCCACTTGGACTTCAGTTTTGTACATGTTGATAGATATAGATCTAGTTTCATTTTTTTCATGTTGATATCCAGGTATGCCAGCACCATTTGTTAAATATGCTTTTTTTCCATTTTATATTTTTTGCTTCTTTGTCAAAAATCAGGTTTTATAAGTGTGTGGATTAATATCCGGGTCATCAGTTTGGTTCCATTGGTCCTCCTGTCTATTTTTTATCAGGCTTATTTCAGTACTGTAGCTCTTTAGTAGAATTTGAAGTAAAGGATTGTGATATCTCCAGAAGTTCTTTTATTGTACAGGATTGTTTTGATTATCCTGGGTTTTTTGCTCTTCCATATGAAGTTAAGTACCGTTCTTTCAAGGTCTGTGAAGAATTTTGCTGGGATTTTGATGGACATTGCATTGAATCTGTAAATTGCTTTTGGTAAGATTGCCATTTTTACTATGTTATTCTACCTACCCAAGAGCATGGGAGATTTTTCCACTTTCTGGTGTCTTCTTCAATTAGTTTCTTCAAAGATTTAAAGTTCTTGTCATACAAGCCTTCCACTTGTTTGGTTAGAGTTATCTGAGATATTTTATGCTATTTGTGACTTTTATAAAGAGTGATGGTTCTCTGATTTTTTTTTGAGTTAATCTCGTATCCTCCTACATTACTGAAAGTGTGAATGAGCTGTAGAAGTTCCTTGGTAGAATTTTTGGGGTTGCTTGTGTAAACTATCATATCAATAGCAAATAGTGAGAGTTTGCCTTCTTCTTTTCCAATTTGTATCCCCTTAATCTCCTTTTCTTGTCTTATTACTCTAGCTGGGACCTCAACAACATTGAATATGGAGAAAGTGCACAACCTTGTCTTGTTCCTGATTGCAGTGGGATTGCTGTGATTTTCTCTCCATTTAGTTTGATGTTGGCTGTTGGCTTGCTGTATATTGCCTTTATTATGTTTGGTATGTTCCTTGTATCTCTGCTCTCTCCAACACCTTTATCATGAAGGGATGTTGTATTTTGTCAATACTGTTTTTTGGCATCTAATGAGATGATCATGTGGTTGTCATTTTTCAGTGTGTTTATATGGTGTATTACATTGACAGTTTTTCGTATGTTGAACCATCCCTGAACCTCTGGGATAAAGCCAACTTGATCATCATGGATGATGCTTTTGATGTGTTCTTGTATTTGATTTGCCAATATTTTATTTAGTATTTTTGCATTAATGTTCATGAGTGAGATTGGTCTGTAATTTTCTTTCTTAGTAATATCTTCCTGTGGTTTGGGTATCAGGGTAATTGTAGCCTCATAAAAAGAGTTTGGCAGTGTTCCTTCTGTTTCTATTGTATGGAACAATTTGAGGAGTATTGGTATTAGTTCTTCTTTGAAAATCTTGTAGAATTCTGAACTGAAATCATATGATCCTGGGCTTTTTTTTTTTTTGGTTGGGAGACTTTTGATGAATGTTTTCATTTCTTTAGCAGTTATAGGTCTGTTTAATTTGCTTATCTGGTCTTGATTTAATTTTGGTAAGTGATATTTAATCAGACAGTTGTCCATTTCTTTTAAGTTTTCCGATTTTGTGGAGTACAGGTTTTTGAAATACAACCTGATGATTCTCTGTATTTCCTCTGTGTCTATTGCTATGTCCCCCTTTTCATTTCTGATTTTGTTAATTTGCATATTCTCTCTCTGTCTTTTGGTTACTTTGGATAAAGGTTTTTCTATTTTGTTGATTTTCTTGGAGAACCAACTCTTTTCCTCATTGATTCTTTGTATTGTTTTCTTTGTTTCTATTTTGTTGATTTCAGCTCTCAATTTGATTATTTCCTGGCATCTAGTTCTCTTGGGTGAGTTTGCCTCTTTTTGTTCTAAAGTTTTCAAATGTTCTGTTAATTCACTAGTGTGGGATTTTTCCAGCTTCTTTATGTAGGCATTCATTGCAATAAACTTTTCTCTTAACACTGCTTTCATTGTGTCCCATAAATTTGGGTATGTTATGTGTCATTTTCACTGAATTTTAGTAAGTTTTTAATTTTTCCCTTTATTTTTTTTCTTGATCCACTGACGATTCAGGTGAGCATTGTTTAATTTCCATGGACCATCTTTATTTTTATTTGTTGTCAAAAACTCTACAAACTAGATTTCAATCTACGTTTTAGTGTCTGGGGTTCCACTGTCTCCTTTCCTTTCCCTTACTTGTCCTCCTTTTGTATTAAGTGGAGACAAAGTCATTGTCTTTGGAAGGCTCTAAACAGGCTGAGCGAGAAGCAACAGCTTGGTTTTATAAATACCATTCTCCTTTAGTACCAGTTTGACTAAGACACAGAGCTTAGAAACTTAGGGTTTTCAAATTTATTTTGTTCTTATGCGTATGGGAGTTTGCTTTGTTTCCATGCATGTGTACCACATGTGTGCAGTGCTTGAGGAGGCCAGAAGGGGATGTAGGATCCCCTGGAACTGGAGTTACAGATGATTGCATATTGCTATGTAGGTGCTGGGAATCAAACCCAGATCTTCTTGAAGACCCTGAGCCATCTCTCCAGACCGCCTCTTTAATTCAATTAAGGCACATCTATCTATGTAATCGATCCCCTAAAGCCCACCTCTCTCTCTTTCCTCAAATGGGCGTGGCTTCCTCAATGATCACTTTCTTCCTGCCTTCCTTCCCCTCCTTTGTTCACTTTCCCCAAGGCCTGTGTGGGTGGTGAATAAACGGTGGAGGCAGTGAAGAGAGGACTAACTGGCTGACTATTGTTAAATGCCATGGGTTTAGGTCACAAACCTTGCATGGGTGTAGCGTCTCGGGACTCAGGCTTGTAGGCATCCATCAAGATGGCTCCTGGTGGCAGAAATGGTACAGCAGCTCTGAGTCCAGAACATGTCACCACCACAGGGTGCCCACCCTGCTCTGCCAGAGCCTGGCTGTTCTCTCCTTCTCTGTACTTGGGTCTTTGCTCCTTACTCCCTGCTGCCGTTCTGTGTTGCTATGCTTTGTTTACTGCCATTTGCCATGTTCTCCCTGTTCTCACATCCTTGCTGTTCATCACAGCTCCATCCTGAGGGTATAGGCTTATTCTCCTGGGTAACAGGACGTTCCTTTGAGCATGTAGTCCAGAGGGGTGTGTGTGTGTGTGACCTGGATATTTGTACTTTTAACCTGGATGGCAACACACACACGAGAGAGAGAGAGAGAGAGAGAGAGAGAGAGAGAGAGAGAGAGAGAAAGAGGGAGAGTCATTCATGCAAATGAGTCTTTTCTCTATCGAACTCAATTGGTCATTTTTAGAACTTCTTGTGAGAGAGAACTTGTACCATTAACGTAGAACCTGAGAGATGAGCATAGCAGAGACTTGCATCCCAGTCATAGAAAAGTCATCTCCAGACACCAACACCACCTTTTTCTTGGTCTTCCTAGTGATATGGTGAACCTGGAGGCTCATCTGTAGCAACAACCAGGCTACAAGGAACAAATAAATTAGGCATGGTACTGGACTCTGAGAGCAGGAATTTGGGTATTTGGATAAATGGGCAGAAAAACAGGAACCTACACAGGGGAAGAAGATCGGTACCATCAATCACCAAGATGTTGAGAAATCCGAATTTTTCAGTGAGGCTCACTGTACCCATATTGAACTATGTAAGCATAATAAAATAGCTGCTGAGGTAGGTATAAGCAGGTAGGTATAGGCACTTGTGACAAGTAGGTGTGCCTAGGTCTCCTTCCTCTGTGGGTATAGAATCATGAATATTCAGATCTTCCCCATTCACAGAATTGTGCATCTTTGCTGTGGCTTTTGTGCCTATAGACAGCTGCTCATGCTGATTTTCATGATTATGGGATAATAAATATTCAGTTTTTTATCTTTTCTTTAGAACTAACCAGTCTTGTTGGAGGTGGTGGCACATGCCTTTAACCCTAGCCCTCGACTGACTGAGGCAGTAGGACTGTGAGTTTGAGGCCAGCCTGGCACTACATATGGAGACCCTGACTCAAAAGAAAAAAAAGTTCTTGTTTGGTTTGTATCTTTTGTGAGAAAAAGGATCCACACAGGCCAATACACCACCTTAGAACTGGGAGACCTAAGTTTGTTTTATTAGTCTACGGCATTCGAACAGCTTGATCAATTAAGATACCAATAGAAAAGAACCCAAATAATTCTCCTTATTCATAACCATGAAAGGACAGCCAAGGATCATTGAATAGCTAGACAAAGCCATCAGAGCCAACTGGAACCTTTACATTTGGGTGTAGCAGCAGTCGCACGTTATTGAGTACATATTCAATACCTGGAGCCTTGAAGCGTTTTCTTACAGCTAAGCCTGCGCTGGGTTCTCCAGTTCTGTAGTGCCTCCCTACTGCACAGGGCTGGTCAAGCTAGAGAGGCCAGTCTCGAGCGCAAGATCTAGACCTCGATATAATAGACTTTACAAATAAAGAGATATAATTAACAAACTTCCTTAGTAAATATTAGGATACATAGGAAGAAGAAAACAGAATAGGGGCTGGGCGAGATGGTAAATGCCTTTAATCCCAACACTCTCTGGCAGATCTCTGGGTTTGAGGCCAACCTGGTCTACAGAATGAATTCCAGGACAGCCAGGACTATATAGAGCAAATCCTGTCGAAAACAAAACCGAAACAAAACAAAAGTGCAAATTCCATCAACGCTGGGGCCTGTGCGGTTGATGCGCATGCTCAGACCAACCGCCCACCGTTTCCTCGAGGACGGTACCAACATCTTTGCTTTGATTCCGCACAGGTGTTACCGGCTTTGCTCTGCCTCAGTGGTCTTCTTCTGACCCGCGATGTCTCGCCTGCTGTTGCTCTGTCCTTCCCTTCTCCACCACCACGTCATCTTCTTCTTGAAACCTGGCGGTCGCCTCACCCACTCAGGACAGCCACGCCACCGAGTTCTGTCACCCACGGTGAGGTAGAGTCTGCCTAACGGCTCGGAGGGAGCAGATGCCCTCAATATATAAATGTGTGTATAGGAAGGAACAGATGCCCTCTGTGTGTGTGTGTGTGTGTGTGTGTGTGTGTGTGTGTGTGTGTGTGTATGTAGGAGGAAACTCTCAGAGAGAGAGAGAGAGAGAGAGAGAGAGAGAGAGAGAGAGAGAGAGAAGGTAGGAGGGAGCAGATGTCCTCAGAGTGTGTGTGTATGTGTGTCTGGCATGAATGTGAATGCAGGTATCTGAAGAGGCCAGAGGTGTTGGATCTGGAGCTAGAGCTGGTTGTAATCTGCAAGATGTGGGTTGCTGGGAACCAAATTTAGGTTTCACGCACCTCTGCCTCTAAGCCGTTTTGTTAGCCACGGGTTGAGGAAGCCATACTCATTAATACCACTTTTCTTCTTTTTCAGGAATCAGCTGTTGGAATTGCAGTGTTTTTTACGACCTTTTTCATCCCCGCTGCATATGTGCTAAGCAACCTGAACCAGTTCAAAAGACAGTAGATGCAAGATGACGTTGAGCATCACTGCAGGTCCAAAATGCCTTCATTAAAAGCATTTACACGAAAAAATTGCTTCGTTGAACCTATTGTGAATATTCATAACTGTATGTCTGTGTGTTCTGCACTTTTTTTCTGACTGTGCATTATATGGATGGCAAAAATAATCTGCCTAAGTGTTAAGTAAAACAGAAACACTTGTTTGTGCTTAGTATTGTTTTCCTTTGTACTTTTTAGGGGGTTTGAAATGCTAGGGATCCAATCCAGGGTCTCATACATGACAGGCACTCTACCACTGAGCTACACCCAGCCCTTAGAGATTGTTTTCTAAACATCATGAAAGCTGATAAAAATTTACCAATGAAAAAATACAAGGAGAAAAAAATCAGTGGGATTGCTATGAAGGGCTGCACTTGGTGATTTTGAGTGACGTCAAGAGTTTTATGGACGGGAACACTTGAGTCTACTGAGAAAGAAACATGCATTTGTTAGGGTCTGCAGATCACTCCACAAATACCACCACACTCACAGGCCAATTCTCAGGAGCCTTTATTTCTTGAGAACAAATTCCAGCATACAGAGGTCAACCACACAACAAAATGGCTGCGACCCCGAGAGAAGCAGCCAGGCTCCTTCCTTTTAAACCCAGCTAGAGGAATTTCAGGGACAGTTAGGTCATCTCCAGCAAATCCGATTGGCTAAACAAGCAGCGGTTACATTAGTTTAAACTTGATTGGCTGTGACATCTCTGGATGTGTCAGGGAACGCACAGAGGTGGGGCAAAAAAAAAAAAGTGGGGGGTTTGCAGATCTGCCCTTCTCTGATTGGCTGGCTCTAACCAAGTGGGGGACATTGGGGATGGGGAGGAGGCCCGTGTCTCAGCCTCATCGGTGAATGATGAAGTGGCAAACCAGAAGTGTGGAACTGGAGGCCCCGCCAAAGGCTGGGCCCAGGCAAGCAGAGTGGCCCATGCCCACACCTACCTGGGGTATCCTGTTTCACCATGGCTTGGTGTTGGCTCCATGCTGCTTTCTCACTGCCTTTAGAGCTACCGCTACTGGGTGCCGGCTGACTTTAAGGTACTATAAATTTAGCTAAATGTTTTCCACGTTTTGCCAGTCCCCATTTTAGGGCTATTTTTGTGTTGAAAAGGCTGGAAGGGGGTGCAGCAAACCACAGTCCTGACAGAGAACAGACCTTAGTTTCACTTCACATTGGGAGAGAGCTGAACAAGGTCTCATGAAAACCTCAGCTTATGGGTGACCATCAGCAAGCACCCCCTCAACCCTTCTGTTGGATCGGCAGGCCCCAAAAGTCCTTCTGCTGGCTCACCAGATGCCCCCTAAGACTTTTGCAGGCTAAAGATAGCTTTCCCTACTCCACTGCTGTAAAGTCCCTGACCACTAGGACCTTCCACCAATCAGTCTCAATACTAATCTTTTCTCTGTCAATCAACCCCAGATTAATCCCTCCTCTCTGGAATTCCCCTAACTCTGCTTAAAAGGAGCCTGTGACCTTCTTTGGGGATCGCTCTTCTGCCACCCCAACTTTGGAATCAATAAACGCTCTTGCTATTGCATATATGGTTGTTGGTTTTCCTTGGGGGCTTTTTCTCAGACCCTAACAGTGTGTGGGCTGGAATAGGAACCTAAGACCTCACCATGGGAGATTAGTGCTCTTGTTAATTGCACTAGTCCAGAATAAGACCACTACTACAATCAAATTTGAAACAAACTTCAATGAAATATTGACCAGATTAATGGACTCTCTGACCAGGTCCACCTCTGGATTCCCAGAAACTGGGCACAAATCACGGTTTTTCAGGGGCTTAAAAAGGCAAGCCCTCAATTTATGGCATTTCCCATCAGGTCCAATCAAGGCGAAGCATACACCCTGACATATTTCCTGCCTCCATACCTCCTGTCTACATTCAATTGGGCAAACATACATCCTGATGCATTTCCTGCCGGTGAATCTCCTGCCCACATATGATCAAGCATATCCAGTGCAAATGGGTCAAATAAACATAGGACAAACAGGAACTTATTCTTAACTGTAAACAGAACCCTTAACCTGCAAGGTCTGTTTTTCCTGTTTTTGGTCTCACGCTTTAGACCTGAGTTTCAGTACTGTAGCGGTTCATCTTTTCAAACTTTGTTTACTACACACACACAGTCACACTCCTAATTCCTGATTTTGTTGTTCTTAATCATCTTTCAAGTTTGACGTATATGTATACACAGCTGTAGTCATTACTTTTACTGTTGCTATGACCAAATCCCAACAGAAGCAGTGTCAAGAGGGGACGACTTACCTTGGCTCGTGGTTTTATCTGTCTGGCTTGGGAAATAGTGTGACAAAGCAGAGCATTTCACAATCATGGTGGCCAAGAAATAGAGAAGAGAGTGCTGCAGAAAAGGGATGGCTGGGGGAGGGTGTGGTTGGGAGAATAGAACATCGAGGATACACTGGGAGCCAGTGCATCCAACCAGGCCCCAACTCTCTATTCCTTACCTCCCCAATGATTTTTATTCTTTAGTTTTTCAAGACTGTGTGCAGCCTTGGTTGTTCTGGAACTTGCTCTGTAAATCAAGCTGGCCTTGAAGGCAAGAGATCTGCCTGCCTCTGCTTCTCTGTTATGCTCAAATTCCAGAACCCAATCATCACTACAAGACCAGTCGATGCAAAAAAGTCTTTATTCACGAGTTAACTCGGGTCCCTCTGTCTGTCCGAAGCAGCAGTGATGACCGCAGCAGCAGCAGCAGCTCCAGGCACAGTGCAGGAGAGAAACCCAGAGCAGCTAAAAATGGAGTTTGTGTAGGGGCAGAGGCGCAGGGAAATTCTAAGTCTCAGGGCTTGTGATTGGCTGTCTCCTAGTTGCCTGAGGGGAAATTCCAGACTCCCAGGCTTGGGATTGGCTGCCCTCCAATGAGGTAAGGGGGCTTTCTAGGCCTGAGGGAAATTCCCAACTGCCAATAACTGCCTGAGTCTCTGATTGGTCCATTTTCCCTGCTCAGGTATTGGCTGGTTTTGAGTCAGGGGCAGAAATGGCTCCCTTTCTGGGGCCAAACTGTATTTGTTTTTCTGGTTCTTTCTATCTTTTTAAGCCTAATCTTGGGGCCAAGGCAAATATCTTTGGTGTGCCCTAAATCTAGGCACTTAGTACGTTCTTTTGGTTCTAGTTTCATAGTTCAGAGACTTTTCTCTGGTTCTAGGTTTGGGGACAAAGTGTTTCTTCTTCTGGCTCTGGTCCCGTTTTCAAGTTGTGTTTCTTTCCTTGGTTTGGGGCTTGAATTCTGTCGTTCAGGGTCTGTGTGGGAGCTGTGGATCAGGAATTTTCTAGGGCCTGGGTCTCTCAGCTCAAGTGCTCAAATTAAAGGCATGCGCCGCCACCATCCTTTCTCAGTGATTTCCTAATACTATGAATCCATCAAAGGATTAAACCATTGATTAGATTGGAGCCTTCAATATCCATTTCCTTCATGAAACCCCATCAATGGGCTACTAAACCCATAAGACTTGAGGCTATTGAGGGGGGGCATTTCATATTCAAACTGTCAATAGCTTTTTCAAAAAAGTTATTTATGTATTTATGTATATGTGCCATGATGTGGAGGTCAGAGAGCAATTTCCAGGACTCAATTTTCTTCTTCTATCATGTGGGTCCTGGAGTTGCACTCGGTTGTCAGGCTTGGCAGCAAGTGCCTTTAGCCACTGAGCCTCTCACCAGCCCGCCCATCTTTGAGGTTTTAGTTTTCTGTGTAGTTATCTGTGACTGAACAGCACCCTTCAACTCTAAGCCTCAATTTCCTTGTCTCTTTATTTTTTTAAAAAAAATTATTTGTTTATTATGTATACAATATTCTGTCTACGTGCATGCCTGAAGAGGGCACCAGGCCTCATTACAGATGGTTGTGAACCACCATGTGGTTACTGGAAATTGAACTCAGGACTTTTGAAAGAGCAGGCAATGCTCTTAACCGCTGAGCCATCTCTCCAGCCCCTCCTTGTCTCTTTAATAGGGACTTAGATTTACTTTTTTGAAGGGATTTCGTGGGGACTAATTAACTTGGGGAACAAAGGAAAAATAATTTTTAGCATAGTGCTTGAAAGTAAATAAATAGAGGTTCGTGTTAGATATGTTTGCTATTGTTCATTTCATACATACTGTATTCCTGTGAATACTAAGGGCAATGCACCAACACAAAGCTCATGCCACTCATGGACCTAAAGATCTGAGAAAATTTGCATTTGGTTACTCTAGTATCATATTTCTATTTCAACATTTTTATTGGTAGCCAGGTGTTGTATTACACAACTGTAATCTTAGCACTAAGGTGGCTGAGACAGGAGAATCATAAACTTGAAGCCAGCCTAGGCTACAAAGTTGCTCCAATATCCCCAATCTCCAAACAAAAACAACAATTTGGTGATTTTGTTAAGGCTTTCCAAAGAAAACACCCAATAAAGTATGTGTGTTCACACAGGCACATGTGCGTATGTGTGTGATTATTTGTGTGTACATAGAAACTGATTTAAAATTTGCTGTGTGTAGTTATGGAAGCTGGTAAATTCAAAATTTGCAGGTCGTGTAGGCTGAATGTAGAGTAAAGGGGACAGCCAAAGAAACCCACCCTGGCTCTGAAACCAGAGTCAGTGAAAGAAACACATCCTGGTTCTGAGACCCAAGCCAGTGAAAGAAACACTTTACCCAGAACCCAGAACCAAAGAAACGTGCCCTGACTCTGAAACCAGTGCCAAGAGAAACACACTTGTCCCTAGAGTCAGAGTCAGTGAAAGAAATACATCCTGGCCTCAAAACTAGAGCCAAAAAGCTTTAAAAGGCCAGTGAAAGAAACACATTTTGGCTGTGAGATCAGCCATCTCTGCCCCTGACCAAGAAAACTAACCAATCCCTGAGCAGGGAAAAACCAATCCCTCTTCTCCCTGGGAAAACTCAGCCCCTAAGAAGTTCTATATAAGTCCTGCACCTGTTCACTTATGCTGCTTTTCCTCACCCTGGTGGAGACAGCCACTCTCCTGGGTTCTTCCCTCCCAATAAGTCTCTTGAACAGTTTGGGTGAAGGCTTTCTTTTGCTGGAGCAGAGACAGAGGAAAGCCGGACTGTAACACTTTCGCTGGGAAAGCCTTCCCCTAGCAGCACCGAATTGTTAAAACTTACAGCTTGGCTGCGGAAGTCAGAAGCACAGC